TCACACTCTCAGGAACACTTAGGAAGAAAAATGGAGTGGAATGGTAAAGAATGGAGCTTGAAAGGCCTTCTTATATAGTGAAGGGAAGGAGAAGAAGCCAAGGGAGTGGGCTTCCGGATTACCTCTGCGTTTTTTGGAATCGGCGATGATTGCACAGGGCGCCGTTTGGTGTGTAGTCCCTGATTGGGACTAATATTTGGTCCCAGTCGGGGTACACTTTTTGGTCCAATTTTCTCCAAATTGAAATCCGATTGAACCGTTGGGGTCAGACAGTCAAACTCTACATAATGATATAATTTTCATTATTTATTGACAAACTTTATAAATCACTTATTTTTTTTGGGTCCTTCTGAGTAATTAATTAATTATCAATTAATTAATTCTAATAGGCCTAATTTCGGGGCGTTACATTTCTCTCCCCCCTTAAAATAATTTCGTCCTCGAAATCACCTGAGTCATTGATCGAAGAGGTTCAGATATTGTGTTCTCATTGACTCTTCAGTTTCCCATGTTGCTTATTCAGTCGAATGATTCCTCCAAAGTACTTTGACTAGAGGTACGGATTTGTTTCTCAATTGTTTAACCTCTCGTGCTAATATTTGTACAGGTTCCTCCTCATAAGTCATTTGTTTGTCAAGAGTTACAATTCCCTCAGTCAAGATATGCGATGGATCGGAACGGTATCTTTTCAACATCGATACATGGAATACGTCATGGATCTTGTTCAGTTCTAGTGGAAGTTCTAACCGATATGCTACTGGACCCACACGTTCAGTGATTCGATAGGGTCCAATATATCTCGGACTTAGTTTTCCCTTCCTACCGAACCGTAACACTTTCTTCCATGGTGAAACTTTCAAAAACACCTTGTCATCAACATTGTATTCGATCTCACGACGTTTTAAGTCAGCATATGATTTCTGACGATCGGAAGCCACTTGCAGTCTTTCTCTGATTAGACGAACCTTTTCTTCAGTTTCGCGGACGAGATCAGGTCCTTCAAGCCTTTGCTCTCTTAATTCTATCTAGCATACTGGGGTTCTACAACGTCTCCCATACTGTTGTTATAAGCGAACTCCATTAGTGGTATGTATTGTTCCCAGTTGTTTCCAAAATCAATTACACATGCTCTCATCGTATCTTCAAGAATTTGAATTGTCCTTTCAGATTGTCCGTCAGTTTGACGATGAAATGTTGTACTAAAGTTAAGTTTAGTACCTAAGGTTTTCTGCAAACTCTTCCAGAATTGCGACGTGAATCGCGAATCACGATCAGAAATGATAGACAAAGGTACACCATGTAATCTCACAATTTCACGGATGTACAATTCTGCCAATTTCTTCAAAGATATATCACGTCGAATTGGGATAAAATGAGATGACTTGGTTAATCGGTCAACGATTACCCAGACAACATCATTCTTCTTGGCTGATAATGGAAGTCCGATCACGAAGTCCATCGTAATTCGTTCCCACTTCCATTCAGGGACAGCATGAGGATGTAACAACCCACTTGGAACTTGGTGTTCGGCCTTGACTTGTTGACAAGCATTGGTCCATACAAATTTCACATCTTTTCTTAGAAGTTTGTTAAGTGGAGTTGCGATCGAGGAAAAGCCTTCAACAAATCGTTGATAGTATCCAGCAAATCCTAGAAAGCTTCTCACTTCATGAACATTCCTTGGAACCTTCCACTCGGTGATGGTAGATATTTTAATGGGATCCACTTTAACGCCTTCTTTAGAAATCACATGTCCCAAAAACGTAACTTCCTCAAGCAAGAATTCACACTTTAACAGTTTGGCATATAGTTTATGTTCTCGTAGTATGCTGAGTACTATCTCCAAATGTTTCGCATGGTCTTTTCGATTCTTCGAATAGACAAGAATATCATCGATGAATACAACCACAAATTGATCAAGATAAGGTCGGAATACACTATTCATGAGATCCATGAATACTGCAGGAGCATTGGTCAAACCAAAGGGCATTATCGTAAACTCGTAATGACCAATAACGAGTACGGAACGCAGTCTTTGGGATGTCCTCTTTCTTTACAGGGATTTGATGGTATCCTGACCATAAGTCAATCTTAGAGAATACAGTGAATCCTCTAAGCTGATCAAATAAGTCATCGATACGAGGTAAAGGATATCGATTTTTGATTGTGACTTTGTCCAATAGACGGTAATCGATGCAGAGTCTCATCGAGCCGTCTTTCTTTTTTACAAACAGAACGGGTGCTCCCCAAGGGAAAATACTCGGACGTATGAATCCTTTCTTGAGCAGTTCTTGTAGCTAAGCCTTCAACACTTTCATTTCGGCAGGAGCCATGCGATAGGGGGTTGCGGATATCTGTCCTGTTCCAGGAACAAGGTCGATAGAAAATTCTACTTCTCTGGAAGATGGTATACCAGGAAGTTCGTCAGGAAATACGTCAGGAAAACCACATACTGTCGGTATGTCTTTCAACTCAGGAGTTTCCTTTCGTGTGTCACGTACGTTACACAGATAAGCTTCACATTTCTTCCGAATGAGGCGCCTAGCGTGTATGTACGAGATGAATTAAGTGGATTTAGGTGTTAGCTTCTCTTTCACCTCTATAGACTTCCCCTCTCCCAACTTTAGTTGAATCGTTCGTTGTCGGCAATCGATAACTGCTCGGTATTTGGTGAGCCAATGCATTCCGAGGATGATGTCAAATTCTTTGTACGGTAATTCGACAAGATTGGCAGAGAACTGATGTCCTTCAACAATCAATGGACAGTCTTAATACACATGATCTAACCTCATACTATGTCGTAATGGATTAGATACTAGTATAGGTTGTTCTAAATTTTCTTTCATTACGTCAGCTTTGTCAGGCATAGGCACGCAGATATAAGATAACGTTGACCCAGGTTCTATCAACACATGCATGACAGAATCAAATAAAGAAAACATACCCTGAATGACGTCAGGGTTTTCCTCAGCTCCTGCCTTCATTGCATAAGTACGAGCAGGAGCTCGTCCCTGTTGCTCACTCTGGTTCTTGGCCGGATTAGATCCCGCCGTTTATCGTTGACTTGGCGTAGGTCGTGCTGATGCTGATTGGCTGACAACTGGGGCTGTCGGAAATGGTTTTCCAGGATTAGTGGGGCAATCCCTTCGAAAATGTCCAGGTTCGCCACAACCTATACATAATCCTTGGGCAAGCCAACACTCGCCTGGATGATGTCTCCCACATGTATCGCACAATGGGTGTTTCCACCCTCTTGATTTGTTCTCCGACGCCACAGAGTGCGTCTGTACCAATTTCCCCTTCTTTGAGAAGTGTGAATTGCTAGATTCCTGGAAGGGCCTTTTCCCTTTTGAGACAGAGCCGGTGGAACGTTGAGTGCTTGAGTCGACATTGTTTGTCTTCAGATATTCAATGCAAGCACTTAAGTCACTGTCTGCCCTGGCTATGATATCGTAGGCTGCCGCGAAATCCACATTGGTTAAGACGGACACCTGCGAAATCCACATTGGTGTGTAGTCCCTGATTGGGACTAATATTTGGTCCCAGTCGGGTACACTTTTTGGTCTAATTTTCTCCAAATTGAAATCCGATTGAATCGTTGGGGTCAGACAGTCAAACTCTACATAATGATATAATTTTCATTATTTATTGACAAACTTTATAAATCACTTATTTTTTTTTGGGTCCTTCTCAGTAATTAATTAATTATCAATTAATTAATTATGATAGGCCTAATTTCAGGGCGTTACACAATGAATACGGAGTATTTAATTTGTAACTTCTGAACTACATTTTCATAGACTTTTATACTCTCTTCGTCCGAAAAAGATTGCAACAGTTGCAACAGTTTGACTTTTTCGGTCAAACTATGCAAGACTTTGACTATAAATTATGGAAAAACTATAATTAGTTATAGAGTGAATTCCATAAAAGATCCCCAGTTATAGGTCGTTTTACATATTTAGTCCCTACATATCAAATATTACTAATTTAATCACCAATTATTATATCATTTTTCACGAATGGTCCTTTGTTAACGTTTTTGTTAAGAACATGGATAAAATTGTATATTCATACTTCTCTCTCTCCTCAATTAAGCTTCCTCCCTCCTCTCATACTCTTTTCCAAACTCGTCGCTGAGTTTGAAGCTTTAAACCCAAAACTGAAATGATCATTCCTCTCTCAATTATTAGTCTTCCTGGTGGAACCTAAAATCAAAACCAATAAGCTCTATGGATGAGTTTTATCGGTTAGTCTCAAGAAATTGCAAATAAATAAACATTAAAACTCATCCATGAAGGTTACTGGTTTCGAATTTGGGTTCCACCAGTTAGACAAACAATTGAGAGAAGAGTGATGATTTTGGTTTTGGGTTAAAAGCTTCAAATTCAGCAACGAGTTTGCGAAAGGAGTACGAAAGGAGGGAGAAAGCATAATTGAGGAGAGAAAAGAGTGTGAATTTTACAATTTTATCCACGTTCTTAACGGAAATGTTAACAAATGACCATTTGTATAAATAAATATAATAATTGGATACTAAATTAATTAGTAATATTTGATATGTAGGGACTAAATATGTAAAACGACATATAACTGAGGATCTTTTATGGAATTTACTCTTAGTTATAACTAAATTTAGTAAATAGATTAATTTTGAAATATGAAATATTTATAATATTTAATTATTTTTAATTAATAGTCATAGGCTTTTAGAGGTAGATTAGAAAAAAAAAGTTTGTAAGACGGATTGACTTTTTAGTTTTGAAGGAAGGAGTGATATTATTAGTTAGTTGGTGGGGAAAGTGTAAGCAGGTAGCATTCCCAAGTGGATTCAGCCTATCATTTTTGAATTGAATCCAATTAATAAATTTTCCATTCCGGAGTGTTGAAGTATTGGCTTTCTTGTAGTCTTCATCAGTGATGAGTTGATTGTCTTTTTTTTTTTTGTATAAAAACTGTTGTTCCATTAAATCCAGTCACAAACTTCTCTTCCATAATACAATCGATCACTTAATTAGCTTATAATCCCCTGCTCTCTCTTAACCACGGCAGGCTAGGGGGGGAGATATATACATTCCGGCCGGAACTGGAAAATAAAATGGAGGATGAAATCAGAGCAGCGGGAGGTTTGCCGGTGGAGATCAGAAGGCGGCAGATGAGCCGAAACGCGAGCAGAAGTGGGTGGAGCGTGGAAGAGGTGTTCTCTTCGGGGGTGCATGGGCGGCGGAGCACACGGGGGGAGGAGGACGAAGAGGCTCTCCGGTGGGCGGCGCTGGAGAAGTTGCCGACATACGACAGGATGAGGAAAACAGTCCTGAAAACCTTCTCTGAGGAGGACAGGGACAGGGTGGTGCACAAGGAAGTGGACGTGCGGAAGCTGGAAACCACCTTCCGACAAGACTTCATCAATCGGGTGTTTAAGGTTGCAGAGGAAGACAACGAGCGCTTCTTGAAAAAGCTCAGAGACCGGATCGATAAGTAAGTACCCATATTAATTAGCTCCGTCACATATAGTTAATCGAATGATTTGTTTGAGCGCTAGCTTAATTAGCTACATACTCCACCGTACCGAACTAACAATAATAACTCTGGTTTGGGCGCGCAGAGTTGGGATAAGCCTGCCAACAGTGGAAGTGAGATTTAAGGATTTGAATGTGGAGGCTGATTGCCACGTGGGAGATAGAGCTCTTCCCACGCTGCTCAACACTCTCAGGAATCTGGGGGATTCTGCTTTGGCCTCTTTGGGGATTAATTTCGCCCAAAACACTAAACTCACCATACTTAAGCACGCTTCTGGGATCGTAAAGCCATCCAGGTATCCATGTTGTGCCCGGTTATTATTGATTTAACAATATTTTTTTCTCACTTCGTATTAATCTTTATATTTGTTTTTCTATGACTAATGATTTGTATTTCTATGTTTAATTCCATTAAATTGTTATTACAGGATCACATTGTTGTTGGGGCCCCCATCGTCCGGGAAAACGTCTCTTTTGTTGGCTCTAGCGGGGAAGTTAGACCCTGCCTTAAAGGTCGTACCTCAATTATTCTCACTCCTTACGTAATTTCACTTTTTATTCATTTTTTTTGGACAATTTCTTTTTTCAAAGTCAATTACGAGTTTGATACGGGGTAGTTGAAAAACTATACTTACTTCACATTCTGACCCAGTGTTTTGAAGACCGGACCGGACCGGCCGGTCCAACCGGTCGACCCGCGAACCGGCAACAAATCCGGTCCGGTTCACTGAAGAAACCCGGCTCCCTCGGACCGGGTGACCCTGGTTGACCCGTCCGGTTCTCGAGTTTGGGCTTAAATCTACATTTTATTAAATTTTTAGACATAAAAATTGAAAGTGGTGGCTGGGAATCAACCCCAGCACCTCCCGTATACTAGTACAAGTTGTCAATCAAGTGAGCTACTCAATCTTTGTCCAAAATCTAGGTATCAATCATATGTATTTATGGTTTTACAAAAGATTCATACAAAATTAATACTAGTATGTAGTTTTTTGTGCAAGTGTGAATTATTTGTATTTATGAAATTTTAAAATAGTTTTAAAAATTGAGAATAATTTAATTTTTATTTGAAAATAAATATACTCTGTATATTTTATATTTAAAAAATTGTTGTCTTCAAAAACTAAGTAATATTATTAATTACGGAGTATAATTTAATATGCTATATTTTTTATTTTCAATCATTTTAATCAACTAAATATTAACTTTAAAATGTCATATGTATATAAGAATAAAATATATAGTCTTTAATTTTAGAAAATATGAGTATCGCCTTCTTATTTAAGTATTTGTTAGAGATTCAGTATTAACTTTTCATAATAATAAAAATAATAAAATAAAAATAAAAGGTGTGAAATATCATATGTATAAGGATATTAAAAAAGAGATGGAGAAATAATAACATAAATTAAAATATTTTATTAACTAAAAATATCTAATATATCATAAAATATTATTATTATAAACATAGTTGACCGGGTCGTTGACCCCCGGTTCAACCGGTTCGACCGGTCAACCCTTGACCCACTACCTCGTCCGAGTCGACGTCCGGTCCGGTTTTCAAAACATTGTTCTGACCTAGTGCCAAAACAAAAAAGTGTCAAATTATAGTTGACCTTAAATTTTGTCTTAAATGTGATGAGTAAAACTAAAATATAATGGATAGATTAATTGAGAAAAAGTATGATGTGATATGAAGCGTAAGAAAAAAAATAAGAGTAAAAGTAATTTTTTAATAGAAAGTCGAACTGTTTTGGTAGAAGAGATCGAAAAAAATGAAAGAAAGTGTTTTGGAGAACGGAGGGAATAGACACAGTTTTTTCAAAAACCATATTATTTCTTGTCTTATACTCTGTAATTCTTTTCAAAGACAAAAAAACGTATTTTAAAATGGATAATTTTGATAATATTCACTAATTATGACTTATCAATCTTATATACTTCATCAAGTTATTTTTTTCTTTTAATTAAATTTTAGATAAAGAGTAAAGGCGATGTTTAACCAATAAAAATTCTTATGATTTCAACCATGCATCATTCATGGAAAAAGTACACATTTTATTAATAGGATATGAGCTAATAATAATTCACTTATAATTTAAAAAATTTGGGGAAAAAATACATTTCATAAAAAATTCGAGATAAAGCACATACATTTCATGCTTGAAAGGAAAATATGTACTTTATGAAAAGTTCAATTTGAGTGTAAATGATACGAAAAGCTCATAACAATTTTAAATTATCGTTGATTTTTATTATTAGTGCGTGCAGGTCCTAATTTTTCCAAAATCCTCCGAAAATTAAAATTATGTCTTTAGAGTTTGTAGTACAACGATTACCTTTCAAATATGTAGAAAGATTTTCAGGTATTTATTTTATTTTGCTATGATGTTAAACTCTACTACTCCCTCCCTTCTTGAAAACAATTTCAATTTTGACCAAATATTAAAATAAGAAAGTGTTAAATTATAGCTGACTTCCCATTTTACCTTTGATGTGATGGGTAAAGTAAGACGTAATTGATAGATTATTAGAGAAAAAATATGATGTGATAGGTAGGATAAGAAAAATAAGAGTAAAAATAGTTTTTTTAATAATTGGTGGAAGCATTTTAGTGAAAGAGAAAATGTTTTGTACATTAATATTTGGAATTACCGAGATACACACTACTTTTTTCCTTTTTGGGTTTAACCAAAAAGCCGCATATTTAAAGAAAATTCGATAACTTAAAAAAGAAAAATATACTCCATCCTACGTAAATTGAGTTTATTAAAGAGAGAAAGACCAAAGTAAGATTAAAACATTGAAAATATACCAAAATAGGACTTTCATGCTTTTATTCCCGAAATAGGACTTACATTACTATACATGGTCATATACATTACCGAAAAAGTATAGTAATTTGCACATGTACACTGCCACATTACAACAGGGCAAAGTCACATTACCACAGTGCAAAGTCCTATTTCGGGAAAAAAAAACATGATAGTCCTATTTTGGTACTTTCCTCTATGTTTTAGTGTTATTTAGGGTGATTTGTATTTATTAAACCAAACGTCAATTTGAATTTAAACCAAAAATTCGGGTCAAAGCAAATAAATTTGTGTTTGAGTTTAGATGATAATTTTGAGTTCAGGTCAGATAAATTCGACTTAACAAGAAGATACTGGCAAGAAGAAATTGAATACTTCTGAAAATGTTCTTTCAATTTAATTTTTTCGATTCAAACCCTAAAATGAAAAAAATTTGAGTTACATATCTATATGTAAATGACAGCTATGTAGGTTTAATTTTTACAGTGAGTGTTATGTAATTGATGACATCATTAATTAACACTCAGTCACTTACAATATGTAGACGATGCACAGGTTAGGGGCGAAATCACCTACAATGGTCACAAGCTGACGGAGTTTGTACCTCAGAAGACGTCGGCATATATTAGTCAAAATGATGTTCACGTTGGGGAAATGACGGTAAAAGAAACTTTAGATTTCTCAGCTAGATGTCAAGGAGTTGGTTCCCGTTATGGTACTACTTTTTTTTTTCATTTCTTCTTTTTATTTTAATTTCTCTCAAATTAATGAAATATATTGAATGCATAAACACAATAATGTATGTGTAGAACTCCTAACGGAACTTGCGAGGAGGGAGAGAGATGCTAAGTTTTTACCTGATGCTGAGATCGATCTTTACATGAAGGTAATTAGCTACTCCCTAATAAATACACACTCCTTAGTATATATACTGAAAATTACTCGAGGTATCCTTGATTTTTTGTTAATAAATTTCATGTCCAACATTATCTTAAATATATATTTCGGGGTACCCTTGATTTTCTGGTTAGAACTCTCAGATCCCACATTATCCAAAACATGTCCTAGAGCTCCTTAAAATTTATGGTAATGTACTCCGAGGGTATATTTCCGTTTATTTGGCATTAATTAGTAGTTATTTAATATTTAATAGTTAATGTTGTTGAAGGTTTTAGTATGGGCCCGAGCCCATTAGGTCAAATACCGTTAGCATTAGGGTTTTTCTATCTCCTATAAATAGCGATGTAATCCTTTTATTCAATCAATCAATAAAGAAATATCCAAACCCTAATTTCTTTCTCTATTCTCTCGGAGCCCGGAAACGCTCGAAGTTTTTCATCTTTCTCTACCTCATATTCTTGGAGCTTGAAGAACGCTCGAAGTTCTTCCCTATCCGATACGATATTCGTATCAATTGGTGCTCTCATTGATTTGAACACCAATCTCACCACCAAAACAAAAAAAGAAAAAAAGTTTCATTCTTCCGATCAGATCTTCCCCGTATGCAGTGTGTCGCCGCAATCCAGATTTGAATCAAGAATCTGGCATAGACGCATCCCAACTGCGCCGTAGTAAATTACTTCGCCGCCGCCACTGAAAGTTCACCTTCACACCTTTGAGTTGAGTCACCGCCGCCGATCGGAAAATTTAAGAAGCATTTCCCAGTTCTTCGGCGTAGCTGTTACAGTTCTCGGCTGAAATATGATCCAAAGCTCGAAACTCCAAATCAAGTTTTGTTATTTAAAAAAAAGGATTTGAAGATCTGATTTGAGAAGCTCTCAAATCCAATTCAAGTTTTGAAGATTTGATTTGCGATGCAAGGCTGCATTCTAGGAAGTTTTGGCCGTCATACTATTAGCAAGTGAACTTTTTTTTTCCGTTTTCATCTAGCACAAAAAAAAAACAGAGCAAGCATAGCAATTTTAGAAGAAATTCGAGTCGCAACCAGTGTTTAGTCCTCCACACGGTAATTCAAAGGATGAATACTTTTACTCAATCTTTGGCTAAAATGCAGCAAGATTTTTCATTTCGGATGGAGGCCCGATTCCAGCTGTTAGAGACTTTGATTATGAGTACTATTACATTGGACAAACTTATTGCTTTGCTAGAGATGGTTCTTTATGGCGAAATTGAGCACGACGAAGGAGTCTGCATACTTTACGACTACATTGATGAAATGATAACAAATCTTCAGTCATTTCGTCCTATTGAAGGTCAGTCCAATTATGATTCTGGCTTACATGCATTTGACATTGAAATCTCGTGTGCGGTACAGGATTTGGTTCGTGCTTCCTCAATTTTGCCGATTTTGATTCCTTTAGAGATACAAAATTTCAGAACAAAAATGATGAATGCCATCCAAAACTAGGGGTGTTCAAAAACAGGTCTGGACCGGATTTTGGACCTGAACCGGACCGGAATGGACCGGTCCGGACCGGTCCGGAAGATTCAGGTCCGGTCCTCGGGTTTTACAAATTAGGGATTCCGGGTTTCCGGTCCGGTCCGGGTTTGACCCGGAATTTTCCGGTCCAGACCGGAATATATTATATAAATTGTATCCATTATTAATTTCAAGCCCAAAAGCATTAGATCCAGTCCATATAGTTTTAGATTCATGAATTTCAATTTTCCAATATGTAGTTTTTAGAAATTTTATTTTAGATTATTATTTTTACGGTAGTTTATAAATTTGAATAAGTTATAAAATGAGTTTTGATGAATTTGTTGCTACTACTTATAAGTACTATTTTTATTAAATACTTTGAACAAAAACAATTTATTATTTCAATTTTTTTCTAAATTTATTTAATAATTTAATTCATTTATAAGATTGCAAAAAAATATATAAAAAAANGTCCATATAGTTTTAGATTCATGAATTTCAATTTTCCAATATGTAGTTTTTAGAAATTTTATTTTAGATTATTATTTTTACGGTAGTTTATAAATTTGAATAAGTTATAAAATGAGTTTTGATGAATTTGTTGCTACTACTTATAAGTACTATTTTTATTAAATACTTTGAACAAAAACAATTTATTATTTCAATTTTTTTCTAAATTTATTTAATAATTTAATTCATTTATAAGATTGCAAAAAAATATATAAAAAAATTCCGGTCTAAAGTAGGGTAAAACCGGACCGGACCGGAAAAAACAGGTCCGGACCGGTCCGGAAATAAACAGGTCCGGTCTTCGGTCCTAAAGAAATTGCAATTCCGGTTCCGGTCCTAACCGGTTCCGGTCCTAACCGGTTCCGGTCCGGTCCGGTCCGGTTTTGGACCGGTGCACACCCCTATCCAAAACCTTATTAATGCCCCGCTTTCTCCACCCAATTTGGCTCATATGGTCGCCATACCAAACACTGAGTCTCATGAAAAGGAGTCAAAGGATGATTCAAGTGTAGAATCATATGTTGGGGATAACATGGACAGTGGGCCTGAACTCATAAATGCAGAGGACGAGGGATCCAACGTCGTGGGGAAAAATAACGAGTTTGCACTTTTAGAAGGTGTGGACAAGGTGACATATGAAGATTGTATCCACGCTGATAACCCAATTTTGTTGGACACCATCGCGTTGCTCGACATTGTTGGTATTGTCAAGTCTGAGCACTTGGGTTCAAAGAAAATAGTTCAATGCAAGTTTGGCCATCCATCTTCTTTCTACCGCTATACTTCATCTGCGAAGCTTCTTGAAGATTGGTCTACAACTGGACATCTTTTCTGGTTTAGCACGTTTTCACATGTCCAAAAGCTTGAGTGGGAACCCCCACCTTGAGGACAAGGTGGTTTTTAAGGGGGCAAGAATGATATGCTAATAGATTAGTTATATTATTTATTAATTAGTAGTTATTTAATTTTTAATAGTTAATGTTGTTGAAGGTTTTAGTATGGGCCCGAGCCCATTAGGTCAAATACCGTTAGCATTAGGGTTTCTCTATCTCCTATAAATAGCGATGTAATCATTTTATTCAATCAATCAATAAAGAAATATCAAAACCCTAATCTCTTTCTCTATTCTCTTGGAGCCCGGAAACGCTCGAAGTTTTCCATCTTTCTCTACCTCATATTCTTAGAACTTGAAGAACGCTCGAAGTTCTTCCCTATCCGATACGATATTCGTATCAATTAATGATATGATAATAGATTAGTTATATTATTTATTAATTAGTAGTTATTTAATATTTAATAGTTAATGTTGTTGAAGGTTTTAGTATGGGCCCGAGCCCATTAGGTCAAATACCGTTAGCATTAGTGTACTGCCAGGGTAGGGAGGGAGCGGGATGGGGGGTTGGGGTGGGGGGCAAGGGTGGGGCTGGGGTGGGGGGTTTAGGGGGAGGGTTAGGGGGGTAGGAACCGTCGTTTTTACAAATGGAGCACCGTACGTAGCCCAAACGAACTGGTGTAAGCAATTGGTGTATAAGTAACTGGTGTAATTTAAGACGCTCCCTTAGTTAATATTCTAAAACCCACCATCCTCATGTTGAAGGGTGTATAAACCCCGAACTTCGAAACATGCTTGTGATGAAGAACACCAGGCAAGCTCTTGATAAAGAGCTTTGCAAGCTGCTTAGAAATGGGAATATGCAAAAGAGTGATGAGACCTGCTTAAAGATTTTTGCGGATAAAATGACAATCCAATTCAATGTGCTTTGTATGCTCATGAAGCAGTGGATTAGTGGCTATGTAGATAGTAGCTTTACTATCACACTTTAGAGGAGTAAGAGTAATATTAAGCACCTCAAGATCATTGAAAAATTTGGATAGCCAAGCTAATTCTGCAGTAACTCTTTGAATTGAGTGATATTCTGCTTCTCCAGAACTTTGGTGAAACTGTAACATGTTTCTTGGACTTCCAAGAGATAGGACTGNCCCCCCCCCCCCCCCCCCCCCCGCCCCAAAGGATTAAGAAGCCACCAACTGATCTTCTTATGTTAGGGCAAACAGCCTAATCCAAGTCACAATAGGCTTGCAACTGAAAATCAGAAAAGCCATTGAAATAGAGGTCATTAGAAGGGAAAGAATTAAGATATCAAAGAGTGTGTTGGGTAGCTTCCCATTGAGGAACTTCCCAATCTTGCATACATTTGCTCAAGAACTATAAGTAATATCTAGGCGTGTTTGTGTCAAGAAATTCAGCTTTCCAACTAGACATCTATAGCTAGAGGGATCTAATAGAGGAAAACCATTTTGAAGGTCCAACTGAAGATTGGTTGGTAAAGGACATATGGCATGTGAAGATGAAGGACATGAAAAAGTGGAGAGCAGATCCTTAGTGAACTTATTCTAAGTAAGAATAATGGCATTATTCTTATATACTGCCTTTAGACCAAGGAAGTAGCTCATTCTTCCTAAATCTTTGATCTTAAAAGTAGTGTTGAGGTAATCTTTGAGATTGGAGATTTCATCAAAATGATTGCCATTAATGAAAATATCATCCACATAAACAACAAAATGCACAATAGAAGAGTCTATATGTCTCGTAAACAGACAGCAGTTATTTATGGAAGAAATATACCCTCTAGATCTAAGAACAATGTGCAACTTAGAGTACCATTGTCTAGAATCTTGTTTGAGACCACATAAATATTTCTTTAATCTGAGAACCTGGTTGGGTTTTGGAAGATGCATGCCTTTAGGTGGTTTCATGTAGATTTATTCATCTAAGTCTCCATGCATAAATGCATTGTTAACATCCAATTGAAATATTGTTCACTGATGTTTAACAGCCACTGTGATGGGAGCTTTAACTGTTGTCATTTTGACAACAGGAGAAAAAGTCTGATGGTAATGTATACTAGCCTTTTGTGTGAAACCATTGATCACCAGCCTAGCGTTATGCCTCTCTAAGGTACCATGAGACTTAAACTTGAGTTTATATACCCACTTAATTGTGATGGGCTTCTTTCGCTTAGGCAAGTCACCAATTTTCCATGTGCCAGTGTCTTCTAGGGCCTGAAACTCCAAGTCCATAGCATGCTGCCATGTTGGATCAGTATGTGCTTTTTCACAATCCCTTGGTTCCTGCATACATGAAATATTGTGCAAAACCTGTTGACTAGTTTCAATTAGAGCCCCTAAGCATATGTGTAAGAAAATGGGTGTGGAAGTAATAGTATGAGAACACATATGATCAGAAGAAGAAGAAGAGGAAGGAGAGTCTGTTGGATGAATATGAAAAGAGGACTGACAGACATAGTCTTGAAGATAAGTGGGTTGTTGAGAAGATCTGGTGGATTTTTGAGTGGAGGCTGATGAATAAAAGAAATAGATTGTATTGGAGTGTGATGTTGAAATTTAGAGATAGATTTGAAGGGGGTCCATTACTAATAGAATTAGTGCAATCATCTAGAGGATGGCCAGCGTTATAATTATAAGGAAACAGAGAAGATTGGGAAAGTGGAAATTGAAAGGGAAATATAGTTTCATGAAAAACTATATCTCTAGAATCCTCTATCTTGTGGGTTTAAGATTATAGACTTTATAGGCCTTTTTTCACAAAGGTAGCCTATGAAAACACATAATGTTACTCTTTCATCAAAATTGTGTCTGCCTTGTGTTTGTGTAGATATGTAACACAGACAACCAAACACCATTAAATGATTATATTTAGGTGTTTTTCCAAACATGACCTCATAAGGAGATTTTTCTTTCAAAAATTTGGATGGAAACCTATTAATGAGATAGGTGGAAGTGAGAATACACTCTCCCTAGAATTTGACAAGAAGGTTGAATAAGATAAATAAAGATCTAAAAGTTTCGAGGAGATGTTTATGTTTTTTTCCACAATATTATTATCTTGGGGTGTACTTCTGACACTGGTTTGAGGAATGATACCTTTGGAAAGAAATATTTTGGAGGTGGCATTACTTTTACCGAGTTCAAGAGCATTATTTGGCCTACCATTTTTTATTTGGACACCAAACTGAGTATTGATCATAGCAACAAATGTTTGAATAATGTCAGAAGCATTACTTTTAACTGTTAGAAGATATGTCCATGTAGCTTTAGAAAAGTCATTCGCAATGGTTAGGAAAAATGAGAATCCATTATAGGTTTTTGTGTGGTAAGGTCCCCATACATCTATGTGAATCAACTCAAAAATATGAGAGGAATGGCTTTGACTATGTGGGAAAGGGTAGTTTATGTTTCCTAGCTTTAGGACAAACATCATAATAAGATAAAGAATCAAAATCGGTGGTATCAAAAGATCACTATTGTTTCAGTTTGTATACATGTAAGTGACCCAATCTCATGTGCCAAACTTTTACATTGAGATCCTTACAAGCTTTATTACAACATGAATTACTAGAAACAATATTATCACAAAGAAATGATTGATTGTTGGCACGACAACTTTCAGGATGGAAAGAAGAAGAAATGACTAGAGTTAAGTCCACCGCATTTTTCACCAATATCCACTGGCCTCTTCTTGGAAGGGCCTTGTAAATTATATGTCCTATGTGTGAAACAAGCTGTAAGTCTTGATTGGTGACATAATTTCCCCAAAGATAATAGATTCTATTTGAGAGTAGGAAAAAAGAGCACATCATTAAGAACAATATTATTGAGTAAGTGTGCAATTCCTTTTTGGAAAACAGTGATTTGTTGACTATTGGGTAAAGTGATCTGGTGTGAAATGGACAGATTTTTAAGGTTGGTTAAAAGGAATGGATTGACACACATATGGTCAGTACCTCCAATATCTAAAATCCAAACACAGCTATCAATTGTATGCAAATTGTTACATATATGCTGAGTCAAAAAATCAGAGGAACAAAACATCATACATTCCATGTCTGCTGAAGACGCTTGTGAGAAATTTGATTGAGCACTAATGTGTCCTTTATCCCCATGACATGTGCTGAGAAACTTCATGAATTGACTATAAACTTTAGGATTGAAAACATTATGAGTCTTGTTTTCTTTGCCTTCAGACTCATTAACTTCTGGCTCTTCTCTATTTATTGCATTGTCAGTCATTTTCTTTCCCTTAGTGAATTTGTAGTCCTTGAAAAATCCCACAAGCCTTTTAACATTTGTTGGCAGTATGTCCCTTCTTCTTGCAATAATCACGACCTTTATATCTTCATATCTTTCATTGTAAGATGGTTGGATGTTTACATTAAGAGAAGCAGGATCACGATCAAAATGAGGAGTAGTCTAAATTCCACTCTGTTTTTCCTCATGTATGAGCATCCCATAGGCTGCAGAAACTGAAGGTAAAGGCCTCAGTATAAGAATGTTTCCCCTGGTTATGTTATAGTCTGAATTAAGTCCCATAAGAAATTGAACCAGATTTTGATCTTGCTCATGTTTCAGAAGTGCTTGAACAGCTCCACAATTGCATCTAGGAAGATTGCATACCAGCACCAATTCATCCCGAATTACTTTTAATTTGGTGTAATATATGGCAATATCTGAACTGCCTTGAGAAATAGAATAGGTACCCTTCTCTTATTGGTACAACCTATCCCCATTTGATTGTCCAAATCTATCATCCACTTCATTCTAGATATTAGTCATAGTATTTGCATATAGGACACTATCTCCAATTTCTTTACTTAGGCTCCGTTCTGTTCAACTTATTTTTTCTAATCTGATCAGATTTTTTATAGTTTTGATCTGATCTGATTGGATTTGATTTGATATGATCAGGTCTAATTGGATCTGATCTGATTGGATCTGAACTGATCTGATTGGATCTAATTTGATCTGATCCGATCTGATCAGATTAATTATGATTTGATTTAAAGTTCAAATAAATAATATGATCTGACTTTATAATAACTTTTGAAAATTGTAATGATAATTCATATTATAATATAATTAATGCTTTTTATTTTATGATTATTTTTTAGTGAAACAAAATTAGTTAATTCATATATTAGAAAAATCATTCATATTATAATGTAATAACATAATGTAATAATTTTTTTTAATTCTTATTTTATAATGTAATAACTTTAGAAATTCAAATTACAGGTAGCAATAAAAATGTGTTTTAAAAGTATGGAGTAATAAAAATAATGATGGAATAATAATAATTTAAAAAGTATGGCGTAATAAATGTATTTTAAATTCTTGATTGGATCTGGAGTAATAAAAATGTATTTTAAATGGAGTAATAAAAATGTATTTTAAAAATGTATCAAGTGAAACAAGTAAAAGTATGGAATTTAAGAAGTATGGAGTAATAACGATAATGATAATGATAAAAATAATAATTCCTAATAATAATAATAATAATAATAATAATTCTTTATTGGATTTGATCTAATCTGGTCTGGTCTGGTCTGATTGGATTTGATCTGATCAGATTTGATCTCATCTGATCTGATTAGATCTGATCTGAACAGATTAGATCTGATTTGGTCTAATCTAATCTGATTTTAATAAGAATAAGGAAAAAGTAGAAAAAATATGTTGAACGGAATGGGGTCTTAGAACATTAAGAATCCAAGATGTAACCATGTCGTTACATCCTTGCCCAATACTAGCTCGGAAAAGAGAATCGTTTGGCTTCTGAATCTTTCCATAGACAAATAAAATCAAGCTTATTCTTGGCCGATAAAGCCATCTTCATATATTTTTACAAGATCCAAAACCTTCTCCATCAAATTGCATCGAAATCATGGTTAAATGCTAGACGATCTAATGGATGTAAATACAGAGGATCTGAAGGATCAATTCTTCCTGGCATTGTGTTTTCCACCATTGAAATGTAGAAGAAGGATTCGAACAGAAGAACGAGAAGAAAATCAAGGAAGAAGAAGATCTAATTCTCTAATACTATGTTGAACTTCATGATGGAGATATGAAGAACGAAGATGAAGATTGGAGAAGAACGGAAAATACTTTTGTTTATTGAATATTCTTCTACAGAATGAAGAATTACAGCTGGAAAAGAGAAAAATATCTAGTGTTTATACACATGAACTTAAAAGAAAAAGAAGAAGATGTTTGTTATGTCATTATAACAAACGAACAAACTTTAACCAACTAAACTAATTAGTTAATATTCTACCATAGAGAGTTCTTACTAAAAAATCAAGGGTATCCCGAAGTATATTTCAGATCATATGGGACCTCGCTCCATCACAAAATGAAGGTATCCGAAAAGGTATCCAAAAAGCTAAGGTACCCAAAGTATATTTCAGATCTAAAGGTTATTATCAGAAAATTGATGGTATTCGAAAGTATTTTTTGGTATATATAGTAGTCCCTCCATCACAAAATGAAGGTTTCATGGTGATGGTTGTATTAACATGACCCAAATATGTATGCTGTATATAGAACTAAATTTAATATATTCAGTTCATTTTACAATTTTTTAAAAAATAATGGATGTATATTTTATATCTAATTTATGAATTTCTATGTCAATTTATAAATAGAATTATTTTTGAAAAAATAAGAAAATGGACCATAAATTTTGGTCGGAAAGGAGTGTTAATTAGGAGTACTAATGACTAATTGGAAATTTTGTTTGATGTGTTTGGTTAGGCAACTGCAGTGGAAGGGGTTAATGAAACTATTGCTACAGATTACACGCTCCGGGTAAGTTTTTTTCAGAATGATTCTATGGTGGACTTAAGATCCACATGGATTATCTCAAAACTTTTTTTAATTTTAAAAATGTTTATTTCAATACTTAAAAATGCTTATTAGGGATACATGATGATCTACCATGAACCTTAAGTGCATGTAATAATTTTTCCTTTTTTCATAGTTCATGACGGAGTAGTCAAGGGCTTGCATCCCACGGAGTAGTTCATTACGGTGTACCCTAAGTTGTACATTAAGGGTTTGGATTGATATTTTGATGGTATAAAGTGAGAATATAAAATATCAGTATCATTGCAAAATATTATATTGGTATTTTTATCAATATTAGCCATCAATATCTCCTTAGTGTATAACTTGGTGTGCACACCAAGTGGTATACACCTAGCATGGTTATAATTTTTTTTTGTTTTCACGAAACAAGAAACATGGCATAGCGTTTCAATCCCTAGTCCTTTAAATGAGTTTGGAAATTCACCCCAAATAAAAAACTACAAAAATTACAAATTAGCCTTGTGATTTTTTTTAAATGAAAGCTGCATTTGGTGAATTTCAATTTGTGCATTTTGAAAATTTTTAAATCTCTTTATCTTTATTCTCTAGTGGAGTTGCATGTAAGTTTGTGAAATTTTAGGTAAGATTTTAGAGCCACCTAAACATGCCAAACAGCCAAGTGATAAGGAAGTCGTTGTTCACAAAATACTCCTTGTTATAGTGGTAATAGTAAATGATAAAATTTAGAAAATGTTAATTTTACATAAAAAAAATTTATTATGATGGACCTGAGATTAAACCTTAATTTTTACGACTTCAAAAAAACCTTAATTTTTACATATTTTTTTTATTTTTTATATAAAATATAGTTTAGGATTTAAAGAATGCTTATCTACTACTCCCTATATGGAATATATATATATATATATATATATATATATATATATATATATATATATATATATATATATATGGAGTTAAAAATGAGTATTTTTTATATTTTTATTTCTTTTCATTACCTTTTTTAACTATTATTACTTTTTACTTTGTACATAACATTTTATTTTTCATTTTTTTTGTAACATTCTCCAAAAAAACTCCAAAAAATAATTTGTTTTCAAAAGTACATTATGAAAAACTCTAATTTGAGATGAGAAGCGTATATTTTATTTTATATATTTGTATAATAAAGGAAATTGAAATTGGAAAAATTCAAGATCGGGGAAAACAAAGGGCATAAATGTCATTTTTGCTTTAAAAATAGGTAAGGGGGGCATGTGTGCTCAATTTAGAAATCGAACTTTACAATTAACTTTTGAAAACAGAAGAAGTTTTGACGCCCTTTTTGTAAACCACGGCATCCATGCCATTAACCCAAAGAAAGTTTGCCTTCTAAGACATAGCCGTGGAAAAAATTGTCCACTTCAGTATAAAACGTACCTACCCATATACGGACTATTACGGAGTGGAGTACCTTTAATGGTTTAAAATTTTAAATGAATCAGCAGAAAGTCAGCAGTCATCACCAACCACAGCCATATGAACGACTTTTTCATTTTTTTTCTTTTTAGTCAACAATGTCAGCACATTCCTCACCTACGTGCAATGTGCTTCTCAACTCAAACATTTATAGTCTCGGAGTTCAATAGTAGTCCCTTTCTCTTATTTGATGGAACTTAGCACAATAATTAGGTTATGGGTGTGTCCCACTCCCACCGAGCATTCTTATGAGATTGGGATCTCATAGGAATGATCCGAAAATACTATGGTGCATTGTTATTAAAATTGGCGGTTCTTATCCCGTTAATTTTCATGGTAAACTTCCCACCCCGCCTCGACCCGAAGACACCCTCACCCACTTCAATTACACTCCAAAGTTAATTTTGACTTCAAAGTCAAAATTAATTTGGGAGTGCAATTAATGGAGGCGGGGGTGTGTTCAGGTCGGGGCGGAGTGAGGAGGATTACCGGGGGGTTACGGGAGGGAAAAACCGTCAATTTTACGAACGAAGAACTATATCATTCCTGGGTTATTCTATTACATTACCGGGCAATGTCACATGAATCGCCCCGTAAATCCCGGTGTTCCTCTCCCCCCTCCCTCTCTTTTCCTTTTATCAACTCAGTGCTACGTGAGTATTTCATTTTACTTCTTTTTTTCATTCTCTTCCATTATTGTAATATATTTAATTATTTTAACACTAATTTAATTTAAATTACTTGAACTAAAAACTTAAAATTCAAGTATTTCAGACTTTAAAAAATTTTAAAAAGAAATAAAAAAAACTAAAAAACTGTGAAAATTTAAAAGAAAAATTAAAACTTGAAGATTACAAAAGGAGAAGCTTTTTTAAAACTGTATATTAAAAAATAAAATTTTGAAAAATATAAAAGTGATGATAAAAAGCAAAAACAATAAAACAATTAAATAGTACTCCGTAACTTTTAAAAAAATAAAAATAAAAATTAATTAAAGAAATCAAAAAATTTAAGATTTTGAAAAAAATAAAATAATATAAAATTTAAAACTAAAAGAAATAAAAAACTAAAGAATAAAAAAATAAATACAAAAAAGGAGGAAAGAAAAAAATCTTAAACGAGAAGGCAACAAAAAAACAACAAAGAGGGAAAGAGAAGAAAAGCAAAATAAAAATAAGGAAAAAGAAGTGAAATTGAAAAGGACAAACGGGAAGGACAACCCACAATTTCTATTCCCGCATGGGGTGGTCGATGTTCCCAAAGATTGTGAAAAAATAAAAAAACATAAATATTAAAAATTGAAAGAAATAAAAAAACTAAAGAATAAAAATGTTGATTTATGAATTCACTCTTAAGGAATAATTGTGTACATGGATGTTTATATAGGTGAGGATCCCTACATGGACTAGGATTCACCAAATAAGTAAACTAACATAAATAACAATTCTACTATTTGATCTGAAGAAAGGTATATACAGATTGTAGGGGGGAGTTCGACTTGCGGCACTTTGCTCTCCTTCGAACCGTTCCAATGCAGTGTAGCGTGGCGAGGCAAGAGCTTTTGTGAGAAGGTCTGCCAACTGCTCATTAGAAGGAACATAAGAGACTGTCATTTTCTCTGCAATTACTTGTTCTCGAACAAAGTGGCAATCTGTTCCGACATGTTTCATGCGCTTATGGAAGATTGGATTCTTAGTCAGACAGATGGTGGACTGGTTGTCGCATAGAAGATGTGGAGGAGGGAGCTTGATCTGTAAAATGTCAAACAAGTAGGTGAGCCACATCACTTCAGCTGCTACGGCCGAGAGGGCTCTGTACTCGGCCTCGGTGGACGAGCGTGAGACACGACTTTGTTTCTCCGTACTCCAAGAAAGTAAATTAGAGCCATGATATATCAAGTAACCTGTAATGGACCGTCCATCTGTCATATCGTTGGCCCAGTCAGAATCAGAATATGCGTAGATGGTCTGTGGGCCTCGCCGGAAGACCAAACCATGATCAATGGTTCCTTTGACATATCGCAGGATGCGTGTCAAGGACTGAAAATCTTGCTCCGTAGGTGCATGCATCCTTTGACAAACATAATTCACAGCAAACTGAATGTCCGGACGCGTGTTTGTCAAGTATTGAAGAGAGCCAACCAAACTCCGGAAAAAGGTGGGGTTGTCGAACGGACGGCTCACCCCCTCCTCAGGCTGCCGTACGGGTAGGGGCGTGGGGGC